CTATAATTACCACAGCCGTAGGCAGGAGAGGGTAGCACAGCACTTCGAGAGGGAGGCCCCAAGTGCAGTGTGTCCCAGAGGCACAGGTCTGCACCTCCCCATCCTGAGGCCTGGGCAGGTTAGCCAGGAAGGCAACGCTAGGTGGGCCCTGGCTTGGTGCACCCAGGGGCCAAGGCAAAAGGACAGAAACCAGCCTGGCCAGCAACCCATGGCACCCCCACACCAGACTGACTGCTCAGGTGTGCCCACTCGATGGTGACAGCACAGGCTGTGCAGAGCAGCTACACGAGGCTGGGCGGGGATAGGTGGCAAGGCCAGCTCTGCCTGCAACCCACCTGATCCTGCAGTGACACTGTGGGGCTCCCTTGAGGAGGACCCAGATCAGAAAACCGGGGGAGTGCCAGCTGGGCCCTGGGCTTCTTGTGACCTCCCGTGCTTCAGAAGAGAGGATGGGGCCCTCCCATTCAGCAGCCAGTCCTCCCCTGAAAGGCTGCCCATCCTGGGCAGCCCAGCCACTACTGCCCGTGCCCAGGGGACCAGGCTGGCCCTCAGGAAACTTTGTCTAAAACTAGGCATCAACAAGAAAACAGCTCTGGAAGCACCTCCCCAAGAGGCCTCTCCCGCACTGACTGTGCCCCACGAACCCCAGAACAGCACTGGCTGTCATTCTGATCTGGAGCCTCAATTGCACACAGGTCAGTCCCACGAGTCAAGCCAACCTCCCCAACAAAGGATACATGCTTGACACAAGACCCATCAGGACAGCAGTGCAGGTAAGATGCTCCCTACCCAGCTCAGAACTCTGCAGAACCACCACACCCTGGGCCAAAGTGCCCCCTAACCTTCCCCGTTACGTTTATCAGCAAACACTGGTGTGTAACACCACGTGAGCCAACAGCAAGAGTCCTGTGCCAAGGTCGACGACCTGTGGGATGTGACCTAGGGACAAGGAGCTGCTGAAGTCAGTCAGCTCAGAGATCATCACAACAGAGAAACCGCCCTTTGCTGCCCGGACCACTCCAGAGAGGGCACAGGGAAGACACTCCTGCTAAGACGCTGGTGGTGGACAGGGGCAGGTGCCACGCAGCATGCTCAGGAAAGGGAGGCAGAGTTCGGTGGGTGACAGCAGGCACCCCCATCTGACTGGAAGACGCTACCCCAATGGGGCGCCACTGAAAGTACCTCTAAAGCAAAGTAAACAGCACAAGTGCGCACACACAAGCATTCAGGTTTACGCTCACACACACTTGTGTTCATGTGCACACGCACAAGCATACATTCACATGCACAGGCTCACATGTTCATACACACATGCACGTGTGCACACACATGCACAATGCTCACATGCACACCTTTCCGTACACACAAGCACACACGTGCACACACAGAGCTGAGCGTGTGCTGTAACTCCTCACCTCCTCAGCAGACCAGGCACTGGCTCTGCTCCTCCTAGCAGACGGTTTTGTTGCCAAGGAAGTGCTATCAGAGAGTCCACTTCACCATCTCCAACCGGGAGCCCGCTGAGTTCTGTCTACTACAGATGCCAGGCTTCTGCCGGCTGCCAACAGTTTGGTGCGACTGTCCAGCGATGGGTGGAGGTGAAAGGGGTCTGAGGTCAGCAGCATAGGGCTTGGAGGCGCCATGCTTCCCACTGCTCCCCCAAACACCCACTTGAAGGAGTGAGTGGGACATGGCAGAGGGCAGCGGGCCAGGCCTGGGTAGCCAGGCCTTAATTAGGAAAGCCAGCAGTGGGCCCTCACCTGCCCCGGGGGACCCCTCCCACCAGCATCTGACACCCACCATCTTGCACAAGCCCTCGCCAATGGCACCAGACGTGGCAAACCCGACTAACTCCCAGCTGCAGGAACCTGCCAGCAACAATGCCTATGCAGGGTGGCTGCAGCATGGCTAGGCCAGCTTCACCACAAAAACTGCAGGGTGAGGACCACCAGACAGCCTCTAGTGACCAGCCAGGCTGTGCTGCCCAAGGCCAGAGAGTTACAACACCATGAACAGCCACATCCGAGGCTTTCCTAGGGACTTCCTCCTCCTCAGGCTGTTTCCCACCTTCCTGCACCCTCAGGACAGGCAACGCTACTATTTCCAAAAAAGCTGCTGGGGCCGCCACCCTCAAGGATCATCAGGTTGCTGGGAGCCAGAGCTTCTCTTGGGATATAAAGACCGTGAGAAAAACACCAACTTGACTGTCACTTCCCAGAACCACGGGGAGCTGAGGTCAGTTGCTAAAGAAGCCTCTCTCCAGCATGGGGGACGCTCAGCAGTCTCTCCCGTGACCGCTGTGGTTTGGGCTTAATCCTGGGCCGCAGACACCTACCCCCTGCACTCTGTCCCTTGCCCTGGGGCAATTACCCAGAGTGCCAGGTCCTGGGCTCCAGGCTCTGCTGCACGCACCCCCATCTCGTGAAGGGCCCAGTCCAGTGCTGGCCTTCAAGAAACCCCCAGAGGCCTTCAATGCCCCACTCTCTGCCTAGGGGCAAAGAGAGAGTTCTCAACAGACAGCGGAAGCGATTCTACTCCTCATCCCTTCATCTTACAAGAACCTCCCCGAGGACATGGCTCCCACAGGAACCAGGCCACGAGGAAAGAAGCGAAAGTCTGTGTTACAGATTCTTCCAGAGAGAAAATCAAAACTGTATATTTTATTTTCATACTTTTAATCGGCAAGGCCAAGGATGAGCGTCCCTACCGTCCTTTCTTTGCCAAGCAAACACCACTGAGAACCACAGCTGAGGCGACACCGGGGCCAAAGCAAACAGCTGAGCTGCAGCGCAGGGTGACACCAAGCAGGGCCACATCCCAGCCACTCTTCTGCAAGTTGTCCCCCCCCACCACAGGCACAGAGGCAGTGCCAACCCTGGACAGGATGGAGGACCAGCCGGATCGGCCTGGGTGTGCACACGGGTGACTCTGACTGTGTCCTGACTGTGCCTTGATGTGGGCTGGTTTCTGCCTGGCCAGCGTGCCAAAGCTGCCCAATCTGTACTGGCTCTGCCGGGGAACTCAGGCTCCCCAGGGACCAGACAAAAAGGTAACCACGCCAGCACTTGAAGACTCGGCAGTCGGTCCGCAGAGCTGCAGGAAAAGCACCACCTACAAACCAACCTGCCACCGTGCAGTGCAGGCCTGCCATGAGGCCAAGAGCCTGTGCAGGGGGCACAGCCCCGAGACACCAAAGCCTGACATGTCAGCCCCACAGTCCTAGGTCTCACTGCCACACCTTCCCATAAGAGCTCATTAATCAAGTGACCCTCGGAACACAGACGACCTGCCTGATGAATGTGTGCCCCAAACCTTCCAGGCTGCTTCCAGATGGGCTAAAAGTCCCCAAACACTCAGATCCTAATAGTTTCCTGCCGCTATCCTACCGACAGATTTCACTTCAGACCTCTAGACAAACAGCAGCCCCATCTAGAAGCCGCTGAGCGGGAACCGCACACCTGACCATCCAGGTTATAAGACTTTTACTAAGGAGAACCGCGGGACTCCCCAGAGCAAAGCCACGCCACGTATCCCTCACAATTCTCATCATGGAAGTTCCTGTTTAATGGTTTTAGGCAGAAGCAGGAAAAATATAAAAAAAATATTCTGATGGGCAGTTCTCTTCCACCCCCTGCAATAATGAGCAAATCTAACAGAACTCATGACTAACAATTTAATAAACCTCCCTCCTCTCACAGCATTTGCAGAGCAACACGACTACAAACGTATGCCACAGATTCCATGTGATACCAAACAAGAAAACCCCTAAAGGCTGTTCCTTTTAGCGCTGATTCCTCTTCAGTCTCCGACTGCTGTTTACTGGCAGCTCTAACGTGGCTTCAGAACTGACTTAGTCAATCTGGACCCGGCTTCGGGATTCTTCCAGATGACCTCGCTGCAACTCTAAAACCTTTATTAAAGCTGTATTAGAGTACACTCTGCCTCCTGACTCCAGCTGAAAGCAAAGGGGGCCACCCCAGAAGCCTCCCCCTGGTTTTTCAGAGCTGGAGCCAGCTAAGAGGGTTTCACAGGCCACTAAGAAGGCACAGCCATAGTTGTTTAATACAATCAGAAACTGTTGCTCTGCCAGTGCCTGGCAATCCCATTTAGCGACCATGAACCAGCAGCCGTCATGTAAACACCAACTACCCAAATCTCCCAGCCTACTTAACCTTCAGACACAGTTTCAAAATAAAGCACAGCTTTGTAAGAGACCTGCCGTGGACTGCCCAGGGCACGAATCTCCCTCGTGAGAAAATGCCGCCTGGAACCACAGCGGGCCTTGAGCCACGGGGAGCCTGGCTCTGTTTTGTTGGCGGTGGGGGGTTTAAACTGAAAAAATGGATGCTGAAGAAACAGAAACCCAAGAGCCCGTTAACGTGCATATAACGAGCAAAAATGACCAACGAGGGGGCTGCGGTGGGGGCTTCCCCGGGGCCCGCGGTCCTCGGATGTGACACTGGCATTCCACAGAGAACGATACGAATCCGACTCTCAACACACATCAGAAGCAAAGGCAGGCGCGCCAGCCGCCTACACGATTAGTCTTCTCCCTCCGCGGTTACATAAGACGACGGATTATCTGGCCACCCATCCAACCTGCCCGTGCGCGACCTCCCCACTAGACCACGTCCACTAATGCCGGCGAAGGAGTTGTGAAAGGCACGCCTGTTGAGAAAAAAGTGCCCAAGGCTTGCATAACAGCGGTTAAAGGGGCCACCACAGGGCCACCACGCCGACCGGAGCGCAGGGCGACGGGCAGCGGCGGCCTCGGACCCCGGCAGCCCCCGGACGCCGCAGCCTCGCGCCGCCCCGGCGCTCCCCTGCTCCACTCGAGTCCCAGGACTCCGGAGAGGGGCGCGGAGGGGAGCGCCGGGGCGGCGCGGGGCTGTCGGGGCGGGGTTACCCGCGCCCACCGGTGACCGGCCGTGTCGAGAAGACCCCCGAGGGCCCCGGGGCCGCCGCGGTCGGGCCCGAGCGCGCGGCGGCGGGGAGCTCACCTTGTAGACATTTTCTGTGAGCCGGTGCATTTCCTCCGAGCGCGACAGCGACATGGTGCTGGTCCGGCGGCACCACGGACCAGAGCGGGGGCGCGGGCAGCGGGGGCGCGCGCGACGGCGGCGGAGACACCAGCAAGCAAACGAAGCAGCACGCGAACCCCAACCAAAACCGCGGAGGGCGGCCGGCCGCTGCATTTATAGCCGCTCAGGCCCCGCCCCACAAGCCACGCCCCCCGCTCGCCCTCCCCCGCCGCGTCCGGATCACCGCCCCCGTCCGCCCGCCCCCGACCAGCGCGGCGCTGCTACGCAACCGGCAGGCCCCGCCCCCGCGCCGCCCTTCCCATTGGCGGGTTCAGGAGATGGGGAAGAGGGCGGGGACAGGGAGCGGGACCTGTGGGCCAGCACCCGGGCAGCGATTGGCCGGCGGCGCTGTCGATCGCAGGGGAGGAGGCGGTGGCGCAGCGCGGGCTTGGGCCCTGGGAACAGCCTTGGGGGCCCCGGCGACAGCCGTGTTGGGGGCGGGGGGGCGGGGAGAAGGGAGCAGAAGGTAGGGGGAGGGGGCGCGGCCGAGTCGCGTGCGGGCGGTGCTTCGCAAGCGGCGAGTCGGGGCGGCCGGGCCCTGGGTGCCGCTCCCCCGAAGAAGCCGGGGTCACAGCCTCGCGCGGGGCAGTGGGCTGGTCCCTGGGCGCCGGCTGCGCGAGCCTGGTGAAGGATGGGAGAGGCTGGCGCGCTCCCCAGGTCTGCCCGGAGCCGGCACCTTCGGAGGTAAGTCCGAGAGGTGGGCGGCGATTCCCCGGCCTGCCCTTCTGGCGAGAGAGGAGGGTGGGCGGGAGGGCCCCGGGCGAGGGGGACCCCAGAGAGTGATGGAGGGGGGAGGACCTGGAGGAAGGACCCTGGGGAGGGGTGGACCCTTGGGGGGAGGAAATGGGGCTAGGATTCTGGAGAGGGGAGGACTCTGGGAGGAGGAGGGTCCGGAAGAGAACTCTAGTGGGGGAGGGAGGATTTGGGGGGAGGATTCTGGAGAGGGGCGGATGGCGGGTGGGGAGAGGATCTTGTGGGGAGGAGTGAGCGGGGACCCTCCAGGAAGGAGAGGACCTCGTGGTGCTGGAAGATCCTCGTGGGGGGGGGAAGAGTTTCCTTGGGGAGGTAGGACCCTGGGGGAGGGGAGGGATGGGAGGACCCTGTGGGGTGGGAAAAGCTGGGGAGGGGAACCTTGTAGATGGCATCAAGAGGCGCTTCTTGGGAGGTTCTGCCGAGGAAGCTGACCAGGCTGGCACACAGGGTTCCCAGTGCAATTCCCTTGGAGAAATATTTACATAAATTAGACTAATATAGAGCAGTTTTTTGTTTTACATTGTGAAACACCAGATCTGAGTGTTTCCCTTGAATTACACTGACACTTTGCATTAGCATCCCATCAGTGGACAGTCGCTCATTTATCCCTTCAAGTGCAGGCGCCCAGGGAGACACAGACCCACAGACGCTGATGGACCCCCGGCCGAAAGCAAGGGAATAAGACAGGTGCCCAGGTTGCAGTCTGTGACCCAAGTGGGCCTGGTTGTGCTTCATGTGGATGCGAAGGAAAGGAAAGCGATATTCAGGAAGCCTTTGCTTCCCCTCCTAACCTGGAGCCTTCCTCCACAGACAGATCTTTTTTGGTTTAATTTCGTTCTGGCTGCCATCCCTGGCTTCCTCCTTTTTTTTTTGTTGCTTGCAATGTTTTAAGGTAGATCCCTGTGTACGTAGTTTCTGGGATTCTTCTGGTTGCAAGGGACAGAAAGGTGGCTCAAACGGGCTCTAACAACAAGGGCATTTATTGGCTCACATAACTGAATTCAGGACTGGCTTCCTCCACATCTTTCCCTTTCCCCCAGCTGGTGACGTCCATTGACCTGAACGGGATCACAGGCTGCCTTGGAGCTGGATGATGGAGAGGAAGAGCCGCTGCTCACCCAAAGGGAGTTGGAGTGGCCAGGATCAGAAGAAGGAGAGCTGAAGGCTGGCAGGCACAGATGGGTTTCATCACTCTAGGAAGGGCATCAGCCTGGGGAGAGTTCTTCTGGGCCATCGGCTCCCATCAGCCATGAAACAGTAGAGGGAGAAGAGGGGCCTCTCCAGAGAAGTGTCCATGGTCCTGAGCCTCACTCCACCCTCTAGAAAGTCCTGCTTGTGACCACCCTCCTGCTGCCCAGTGGAATGCTCACATTTGGTAGTGGCTGAAATAGGGAACCCACTCAAGCTGGCCTCCCTTACAGGTGGGCTAATAGCTCAGCAGCATTGTCCCGGGCCTGCTCTTTCCACCTGGCAGCTGGGCAGGTGGTGAACAGCTGGGAGGGAAGTCATCAGTCAGAAAAACATGCACAGAACACTTGCTGCAAGTGAAAATGAAGGAGCATCATGCCCCGAAGCACTGAGAAAATGCACTGGGGCTGGCGGTAGGCAAGGAGTGGGATGTGGGTGAGGTAGTCGTACCTAGGCATGAAGAACTGAGACAAGAAAGCTCAGCTTCCCTGAGTCACTAGCCTCTTGAGAGAGCTCCAGCCCGGGCGTGCCCACCCCTTCAGCCACAAGGAGGAGGTCTGAGCCCCAGGCCAGGAGACCACCAGTGTTCTCTGAGGCCTTTCTTACTTACATGTAAGCCCCTTCAAATGGCAGCAGTGTCTGGGGTGGCCATGAGTACCAGGGGTAGGGATCTAGGGCCTAAGCAGTGGACAGGGCCGGCAGTGGGCCCAGCATTGAGAAGTCAGCCCAGCGCCAGCTCCAGGAGGCAGGAGGGTGTGCTTGTCCTGGCACCTTTTTATCTTGGAGGCGTTCAGAGCCCTTGAGAAATCCCATCTTGTTTTTTCTGCTCTCAACTCAGAGTGTCTCGGGAGGTTGTGGGCTCCAGCGACTTGCCTGAAGGTTGGCATTCAGTGCAGCTAGGAAATCGTTGCCTAGACTTGGGGTCTGGCCCACCCCCTCCAAGACCAGCAAGAGGAGGCCATTGTCACGATGGAGAAGCTTTGCTCTTCCCTCTTCCTCCGCAAAGGACAAGCAGGAAGGCCAGCACCAGCCGAGACGGGCAGCCACCAGCACCCCCAGCCAACTGTCTGTGCCCCAGACCAGGGTGTTCTTCCTGCGCTTGGGGCGGGTGGGGAGCAGGTTTCTGTAACCGAGCAGCTCCTGGGTTACTGAGGAGGCGGCTCTCCCTGCCACTTCTGATTGCCCCTCCCCTCAAGGTCCCTGCAACCAGGGAGCCATGTAGCCATGGCAATCTTCAGCACCCCTGCTGGCAACCAGAGGGTCCCCTGCAACAGGCCCTTGCACATGCAGGGTGCTAAGCCTGGGTCGGAGGCAACAATCTGACCACACTGAGCTGTGACACTGACCCCGGGCTAGCTGAGCCCGGCTCGGGGCCGCCCGGGAGAAAAGGACTGGGAGCAGCAAGAATGAAAGTACACTTCTTCATCAGCTTATTTTTAGTCACGTTATGTAAGTGGCTTCATCTTAACGTCATGTGGGGGGGGGGTCTCAGATTTAATTACAGGATGACAGCCTTTGCTTTTCAAGCAAGCTGTTCTCCTGGCAAGGCAGGCACAAGGATTTGTGAATTTTTGCTAAACAGAAGGAGCCCTTTCTGAGGTGACTGCCCAGCAAAACTTTGAAGGGTTTTCACTTCCATCTCTCTCTCTGACCAGCCTAACCTGGTTTCGGGGGAGCTTGGCCTAAGGGAGTGGCGATTTGTCTCAGATCACAGGGAAATTTCGGCCTGTCAAGGGAGCTGTCTCCCTCCCCTCCCCTCGCCTCTTGGCAGCCTCCCTGTCTCTCCCAGGGGAGGGTCCACCCAATCAGAACTCCTCTTCCTTTTCTCCTTCCTGGATTAAAGCACTCGTAAATCTGTAACCAGAAAGTTCCAGAGCAGGAGAGATGGGAGGCGCATCCGGAGCCGGCCTCATTCTCCGCACTCTCCCGGCCTTTGCTGCTTCCGCCCTCCACGCTGGGAGCTCTGGGCCACTGGCCTGGGCCGGGGTCACGGGGCAGAAGTGTCCAAATTGTGTCTATAGTGCTGTTTCCTGGTTCCTGGCCAGGCCCACATTCTTCATGACCGTCAGCATCATCAGGAAGAAGGTGCAGAGGCTGCCGGGCCCCGGGAGTCTTGCCTCCCGCCAGCAGGAGGGCCACCTCAGCGGCCTCAGCACTTCAGCTTGTCCAGTGTAAAGGGCAGAGCTGTGTTTCCTGCCTCGGAGTGAGGCCTGAGTGTGCGTGGAGGGAGTGGTGGAGGAGCCAGCACTCAGACACCAGCAGCAGCCGCCGTGGGGCCTGGGCAGGTTTCACGGCCTCCCGAGCCCTGCCTGTAAGTGGAGGTGGGCATGGTGCCTGCCGCAGAGCATCGGCAGGAGGAGTCAGGCGTAAGCAGGGCAGGCCAAGCTCCAAGAACCGTGCCTGGCATGTGGTGGGCCCTCAATATGTTTAAGGTCATTGTCATTAGTGACCAGATGGGACATTTCTAGGACACACTCAAATGGTGCGTAGAAAGGCACGTGAGATGCTGCCCTTTAAAAAGTGGAGTGCCTTGAGAAGATTCCACAGCCCTTCAGTGTGGGCTGTGCATGGTGACTTCCTTCCAGAGAGCACAAGATGGAAGGGGAGAAAGAGTGACTTTACCTGGGAGACACTGGCAAGCACACCTCAACCAGGTGAGCCGGTCACATCAACAGTGTGAGTCACAGTGATCATACGTGGCCTTGATGTGACGGGAAGGACACTTCACCTCTGTGCTCTTCCTCCCCCAAACCCACAAGCCCAGTCTAATCATAAGAGAAACATCAGACAAATCCCAGCAGAGGGACAGTCTACAAAGTCCCGGATGAGCACTCTGCAAAGCTGTCGCGGTCATCCGGGACCACAAAAGTCTGAGAGACCGTCACAGCCCAGAGGAGCCTGAGGAGACAGGACAACTAAACGTCAGGTGGGATCCAGGATGGGATCTGGGAACAGAAGGACTTTAGGCAAAAACTGAGGAAAATGAATAAAGTATAGATTTTAGTTAATGTATTAATATTGGTTCGTTAATTGTAACAAATGCACCACACTAATGTAAGATGTTAACAACAGGGGAAAGTGGGTGTGGGGTATCTTTGCA